GAGCGAGGAGGAGGCTTCCCCTCCTCCTCACACTCAACCGACTGAGGGCTCCTGGTGGCAGTTGTGGTCCCGCCTCCCAGCTCGGACTCCCAGCCACTCCCCCCGCCCACGCCAGGCTTCTGTCCTGTGCACAGCCAGAAAGATCAGAAAATACCAGATATTGCACATATCCGGTATTTTCTGAATTATTTTTTTTACTGGACAGAGCGCACAAATACCGGACTGTCTGGTACAATACCATACACCTGGCAGCCCTAGGTGTAGGCCCTTCAGCAGGGGTTGGCCTCCCTCTGCACTCACCGGAGAGGCAGGAAGTGGAATGATCCATGCCCAGCCCACTGTGCTTCCTTGAGCCCAACTCCCAGCCATCTCCCAGGGGAGGGTTGTGGGCTGAGGCCAAGTTGCTCTGCTGCCCATTGCTATGGTGAAGTGAAGTTATCTGGCTGGGAAATGGTGGAGCGGAGCGGAGCAGGATGCTTGGTGGTTCTGCTTCTGTAGCTCCTGCTCCCACTGATGAGTGCAGGTATGGGCGTGGCCCTTACTGCCAGGGTCAGGCATGGTAATCCCTTGAGGCTGAGGGGCTCCCAAAGTTCTCGGCCCAGGATAGCTCCTTGAACCATTCAATGGACAGAATGACTGTGCAGAAGCATTAGGGGGCCCACAAGAGATGAAATCTCAGCGGCAACTGTTTTCACTGCCCTGAATTTTGGTTTATGAAGGAAATGGTCTCTGGAAGCAATTCTGCATGGATACAGCAGGGAGGAGTTACTTGTTCCTAATAGCCTGTTTTGTCCAGGGGTTGCATAACGTGGCTGGGTCCTGATTTGCATTTTGCATTGCCTGCTGACCTAACAGCAACACTGGCTTTGTCTTGCCTCTGTATCTCCCTGTACTTTCCACTCTTGTCTTTTGGCATGACAACACTGTCCCTGCAACTGCCACACTATCTTGCTCCATTCCATAATCTCTCTGGACAGCTCCCTGTCATTTTCCCTCTATTTGCTATTTTTGTTTTTCTTCGTGGCTGTGCAGTGTGCTCTGCAAATATTGCATCCTGAATTTTCCCCATTCAGTTTATCCGTCCACTAAGATGTTGATGTACTTAAGGCCTTGTCCTTGAGAATCTAGCCATTGTAGGTCCTATGATTGTGGGAATAGGAAAAACCCACAGTGGATTATTGTTTATATTGCAGAGAGACTACGATAGCATTTTTTTCCTATGTATTTCTGATTTTCCTTCTCTAAGATTCTTCACATCTAGTACAATGAAGAGGACTGTATTGAAATTTTTGTCCAGAAGCTTTTGACCACAAGCTAATAGGAGTCAACAGTGTGACACTATTGGGGAAAAAAAAGGCAAACATGATTCTGGGATGCATTAACAGGAGTGTTGTGAGCAAGACATGAGAAGTCATTCTTCTACTCTACTCTACATTGATTAGGCCTAAGTTGGAGTATTGTATCCAGTTCTGAGCACCACAGTTGAAGAAAGATATGGGAAAATTGGAGAAGAGCAACACAAATGATTACAGGTCTAGAAAACATGACCTATGAGGGAAGACTAAAAGAATTGGGCTTGTTTAGTTTAGAAAAGAGAAGACTGAGAGGGGACACAATAGCAGTTTTCAAGTATCTAAAAGGGCATTAAGAAAGAGGGAGAAAAATAGTTCTCTTTGTTCTCTGATGATAGGACAAGAAGGAATGGGTTTAAATTATAGCAGGGGAGATTTAGATTGGACATTAGGAAAAACTTCATAACTGTCAGGATGGTTAAACACTGGAATAAACTGCCTAGGGGGATTGTGGAATCTCTATCACTGGAGATATTTAAGAGCTGGTTAGATAAATATCTGTCAGAGATGATATAGATGGTGCTTGGTCCTGCCATGAGGGCAGGGAACTAGACTTGATGTCTCAAGGTCTCTTACAGTTCTAGTATTCTATGCTGTTTGGCTTTGTTGTTGTGGCTTGAAGGCTCTATGTGCTGGATGGTAGTGGTGGTATTTGGGAATAATGTTCCCAGCCTGGCTTCGCAGTTTTGCTGTGCTTTGGTTGCACTTATATGGTGTCAGAAAAATTAGTGGGGGGCACCTGGGGAAGAGCAGATACTAATACCCTCTCCATCCTCTTTAGGCTGTCCTGACTCTACATTACAGTGTGTAGATGATGAGAAGAGTAGGGGTGGGAGCTGGAGGTTTGTTAAGATCCTAGCACTCATCTGCCTACAATGGCTGCATCTACTGAAGAGCTTGGAGAAAAGCTAGCACAGAAGTATAGCACGGCAATAATAATTGTAAAGATAGGAACTTACATGCCAAAGGTATCTTGAAAGAATTTACCCTCTCAGTCCTGGCCTTAGTTTCTGTTAAGAATTGAATTGGGTACCTGCGTAGCCAGTGTCAGGGTTCTGAGTACTGAAGAGATCCCGGCTTTCAGGGGACAGCTCTTCACAGATCTCCTAGTGTTCATTCTCCAGTGACCTCCTGCTGGTCCTCCTTGGGAGCGTGGAGGAGAGCAATCTGCAACTTTCACAACCTTGCTGATTGGGTGGTTGTGTAATAGTGCAAAATACTGTCTCTCTCCTCAAATATTCCTAGACCAGGGATGTTAGGGAGTGAATAATTAGCTAATTGTGTAGTTGATAGAATTTCTATCAACTACCTGATTAGTCGATAAAGGAGGAAGCCTCAGTCTTGGCTTGTGCCGGGTCCAGGAGCTACCCGCTGCTGCAGCTTTGCAGTTTAAATGTAGTTGGAGCTGGGCTGCCTGCATGCTCAGCTCTTACTACATTTAAATTGCAGAGCTGCAGTGGTGATAAGTTCTGGACCTGGTTTGAGCCGGGACTGAGTCGGGCTTGCTCAGTCCCAGCTCGCACCAGTTCCAGTAGCCCACATCTGTGTGGGGTTCCAGCGGGGAGTTGGAGTTCCACCTCCTCCCGTGGACAGGGGCTGCTGCTAGAGCAGCAGAGCTGTGAGCAGGGGCTACTCTGGCAGCAGCGCAGACAGGGAGCAGCCTGGGCCTACCACGGGCAGAGGCTGCTTCATGGCAGCCTCCCTTGTCCTCCTCTGCCCCCCATGCTGCTGCCTTTGATAGAGGCACCAGCACAGGTGGTGGGGGCAGGCAGCACCAGCTCCTGCTCTCCCTCTTCCCCCTTGCTGCCTCAGATACAGATAAGCCTAGGCTTAGTTAGTTGACTACTCGACTACTCCCTTACATCCTTATCCTGGACCATTTCCTCAAATTCCTGATTATAACCTATATTCACATGAACTGTTGTTCATTCTTGTTCTTGTATTGTTTGGCACCCTGGTTGTGGATCCTATGGTCATCTCTTTAGCTATGTCTACAAAAGATTTTTATTCCCATGGCTGACCACTAGAACTTTCAGCAGCAACTGTTCTTCACATTTGGTGATGAGATCTAGGGTGTTTGCATGTTTCCATGCTACTGCACAAATCATGTTGTAGGATTTCTTGATTAACATTGCCACAGTTCAGTGACCAAAACCTGATGCCTCTCCAGTTTTTAAATGGGGGAGGGCAGCCAGCCACCTTTATACCAGAGCAAGGAAGGGCATAGAATTAAGCAGGTCCGTGATGGTTACCCACAGAACAGTGGGATTACTAGTAGAGTCCTGACAAAGTAATCAGAGTAATGTACAGCACCATTATGTGCATACGAACAATAAACCAAACTCAATTTTGCAGCAAACTTGCTTCTAGAAAGAGAATTCTAGGTTTTACAGTAAATGTGGAGTTAGTGCACCGTAATTAGTGCTGTTTGTGTGTTCATAGTGGTTGATTTTTTTTTTAAACAGACTAGTGATTTAATCCAGTTTAAAACCTCCATGTAGAGAAGCCCTCAAAACCTATCTGGTAGCCTTCTTGCACTTGAACCAAATATTATTCATTTTAATGAGACACTTTCCATTGGTTTTAATTTTTTTTAAATAAGGCCTATGGGTGATCCAAATATGTTAGCAAAGCATTGGCTAATATTTTTCTGAATATATATTTAAATCATGAAGGTTGTGATAGGTAAATTTCCTTTCTTTAAAATGGACCAAAATTTAGGGGTTTTTTTTTTGGTATTCTAAATTGATATCTGAATTGTTAATTGTAAAGAATTTTTAATCCTCTGTATTTGAAGTGACTTTGACATTTATCTTTGAAAAGAGTTCTGCTTCATGTTGAGTTCATATCTTGTAAATATGGTTAAATATATAGAAAGGGATACATGCAGCATGGTTATAATTGAAGTAAATGTGTTTACATGAGTTATTACTTTTGCACTCAGGAACATTTTGAACTAGCAAATAATGTGTATTTATGAAACAAAGTGTAATAACTCATTTCTTGAGCTATCTATTTAATCATCACTTTGTAAATGTTTTATTTAATCTTGGTAACCTGTAAGTTCACTCATCCATTCTGCTGGATGGTTAATATAATTTTCTGATTCATGTGAAATATTTTAAAAGTTTGTAAAAGTGTACATTGTTTATAAAGTAGATTAGATCTTTCTAAATGAAGAACTGATGACAGTTTTCATTTTTCAGTCTTTTGGGTGCTTAGAAACTTAGACTGTAGTTTAGCAACGTTAAAAATTGTCTGTTACAAATATTCATGGTGTATATTACATAATTGCAGTTTGTTTTCATCATATTTTGAGCATTTTAGATGGATAATAGGAGTGTGTAGCCAGGAGGTCCAAATTCATTGCAAGGAGGAAAACATTGCCCATCTTGTAAAATCCAAGTAAAAAGTCCATAAGCTTAATATTTTTTTAACTTTACAAGAATTATAGCTTTAAATATTTAAATATAAAAATATACTCTTTTCTTCAAACAGACCTCTTTTTATTTCAATTTATTCCAACTCTGTAAATTGTAAAGCCTTGTGATCCGTGCTTTTCTAACCTGGATACTTTTTATTGTTCTTTTTAGAAATAAAACATAATGATGTATATTGCACGCTAACATGATTTACTTTCCCTTGCAGCTACTTTGAAAATGTCTGAAAATTCTAGTGACAGTGATTCATCTGGTGGCTGGACTGTCATCAATCATGAGGTACTGTTTCAAGTAATATTAAACAGACGTGATTAACTTAAGTCACATTTGTCTTCTAGTTTATGTTGTTCTGTATACTCCATTACACCTTTTTCCCTTTTTGTTAGTACATTTCCATTTATGTGGCTATTTCACACAGACGTAGAGGAGAAAGGAACATTTTTAAAATAGGAAGCTGTGACTGCAAAGCTATAGAAGTTGACACACACAGTTGGAGGTTGGCACAGTATCTGATATGACTTTTAACCTTTAAAACAACAACACAACATGACACACACACAAAAACACCCAACCAAACAAAAAGTTGATTAGATTTTAAGGTGATGTCCCTTTAAGAAATTTAGAGAGTTTTGGCCACTTTTTCGCCTTTGGTACATTTCTCCCCCTCCCCTACCCACCCTCAAAATTGATATGGTATGTCATCTGCACTTTTGTTATCATTGCTAGTATATTTCCACTTCTCTTCCCAAACCTAATGTGGGAAGAGGACAGTGCAGTAGTTCTTCCATATTACTACCACCAAGCCTCACCAACTGTGGCTTTTGATCACACCTCCAGCCTTTTGACTGCACCACCAGCTTTGTGTTTCTTCCCTCTTCTTGTCCAAAACCATGGCAAGATGCCAGTGTTCCAGTGCACAACAATGTTGTGGTAAAGGGCCTTTGAGTCCAATCTTCACAAGCAACCTACAACCAGTGTCTTTTAGTCAAATGCTCCTCTTTGTGGGGACTTGCTAATTAGTCCTCTGTATTTTGGAATTCAAGATATACTGGGTAGGAGTTGATTTAGGACTTGAGTCAGCTCCACTGAAGGTTTATTAACAGAATGCTAGTGTAGATAGGGTTCTGGTTCCTACTGTTGTTTTCAGCCATTGTATTTTCTAACACTCTTCAGAATATATCTAGATGACATGATGAAAAAAGACAAGCAGACACAGACACTTTTTCTGCATCAGCACTTCCAATATTACTACTGTCATATGAGCTGAATCACTAGTAGCATAACCCATTAGTCAGTGTGTGTTAGGCATCCCCATCTGTGTCTAATTCACAGATCATGGGAGTTATCTGTTACAGCCCCCAGGTACAACTGTTGTCATCACAATAGCAATGGTGGGAGATTTGAGGCGGGGAAAAGGCTGTTGCTGGTAAATCCTGTATGTTCTGATAAGGGGATCAAACAAGGAACAATTCTATGGGAGTAAACAAAGTTCATGTCCAACAAGCAGACCAATAGTCCTGGTTCTCAATGGTAATTCCTTAGTTACTTTTGTCTCCATCTCAGGATTTGAAAAATCTGCTTGCTCACAGTGAATAAGAATATTGCACAAGTGAACAGCATCAATTTCTGCAGAATTCAAGTTTTCATTTAAAAAATGAATTAGTCTAGCTTGTATGATTGCTATGATAATCTTCCAAAGATGTATTGAGAATAAATGAATGCACCAAGTTGTTCCAAATTCTTCAAAGAAAGAGGTTCAATGTTAAGTGATCGGAAATGAGACAGTATTTTCTCTGTGGTTTATAATTGGTTCATTATAGTCCTCTATACATCACTTAGCAAAAACAAGGCTCTGAAGTTGGTGGGCTAATATTTCATTAGTGTCAGGAACAATCAAGTGAATAGATTCATGCCTGAGGAGTTACAAGGTAGCTTCAGGTGTAGTAAGGACTTTTATACCAGCCTCCCACCTCATTTCAGTGATTTTTGGCATGGAAATACTTGTCAAGTCTCTTCGTTTAGAAAGTTAAAAATAATTTTCAGAGGTTGAAAGCAAGCTTTCAGAAAGTTCCCTGGTTGCATTATTTAACTGAGATGTCTCTTTAAATCTCTTTAATTTCTCTGCTATGGCTAGCAACACAGACATAGATTGTTATTCATAGAAACTTGACACCAAAACAAAGCAGTTCCTAGCAGCATCGAAATGTCAAGGAAGGAAACTTTGTTTGAACTAATGGACAAAGCAGCATAAAAGGGAATTCAAACCATACTGAAGGTCACATAGTCCTTCAGAGGCCATTCTGTTGGAAACAAGAATAAGAGGACTAATACAATAGAGTAAAATGGAAAAGAGGGAGAAGAAATGACTCCAGGGAAGACTTCTACTGTATAAAAAAAGTAGCCCCACCACATAACATTCCACATGATCTATAGTATAATCAGTTGGAAGAAGAGGGGTGAACTCTTCTCTTCTCAGACAAATGAATATATCAATTGAACTAATCAGTATTGGACATAATAAAAATGTTAATAGGCAATCTCCATTAATTTTAGATCCTTCTATCTCCTAGAACTGGAAGGGACCTTGAAAGGTCAAATCCAGTCCCCTGCCTTCACAGCAGGACCAAGTACCATCCCTGACAAATTTTTGCCCCAATTCCCTAAATGGCCTCCATAAGTATTGAACTCACAACCTAGGGTTTAGTAGGCCAATGCTCAAACCACTGAGCTATCCCTCCTACCATCTAGAATGTCCAAGCTCAGATTTCTTTAGTACCAAAATGGACCAGCAAAGTTAATAAATTTTAAAATTTAAGAATGACATAAGAAACAGATGTGTCTACTACAGACTACCAAATAAGGAGAAGGTGGTGGTCGAAGTGTTTCTATGAAAAAATAACAGAAATTACCACCAGTATTGGGGATATGGGGGACTTCAACTACCTCAACATCTGTTTGGAAAACGTAATATGGAAAAATACAACATATCCAATAAGTTCCATGAATGTACTGGAAACAACTTTTTGTTCCAGAAGGTTGAGGACAGGCTGTTTTAGGCTTGATTCTAGCCAATCAGGATGAGTTGGTAGCAAATTTGAAAGTACCAGGCAATTTGGGTGAAAGTAATCATGAAATATGATGGATTTTATTATTCCAAGGCAAGGAGGGAATGAGAGCAGCAGAATAAGGACAACAGACTGCAAAAAACCAGATTTTAACAAAGGTTCCATGGGAAGAAAATGCGAGAGAAAAAGTGCTGGCAGTTTTTTAGGAAGATATTGTTATTAAAGCACAACTGCAAACTGTACCACTGCAAAACAAGGATAGGAAGAATAGTAAGACAATATGTATACATGAGGAGCTCTTTTGATGATCTGAAAATAAAAAAGGAGTCTTACAAAAAGTGGAAATATGAACAAATTGCTAAGAAGAATACAAGGATACCACAAGCATGTAGGAACAGAATCAGAAATGCTAAAGCTCAATATGAGTTACTCCTAACAAAGAGCATAAAAGGCAATAGGTTCCTTAAAGACATGAATAGCAAGAAAAAGACAAAGGAAATTGTAGATCCTGTACTTTGTGTGGAAGAAAAGTTAATAACTGATGTCATCAAGACAGAGGAGGTATTCAATACTTACTTTGCTTCAGTGCTCACTAAGTAGGTTTGTGGTGGCCAGATACTGAACACAAGTAATATTAACAAGTGGGAAGAAATGCAAGCCAAAATAACGAAAGAACAGGTTAAATAATATTTAGATAAGGATGGGGCTCTATATCTGGTTGAACAGAAGGGTATAGCACCGTGGTCCCCAAAACGGTGCCCGCAGGGGCATTTCCATGCGCCCGCCAGGTGCTCGGGGCTGGCCTGGCACCAGGCGCATGGCGGGGGGGAGCGCCGGCCCTGGGCGCGCGGCGCTGGGCGGGGGGAGCGCCGGCCCCGGGCATGCAGCTATGGGGGGGGCCACCCCCAGGGCGCAAGTGTCCCTGCCCCACGGCGG